CTCCTCAAAAAACTGCCATATCAAAAAAAAAAAAAAATGAAAAAAAAAACTACTTCCAAATGGAAAAGCTTCCTTGCAGAATTAACAAAGTTTTCACAAATTTTGGCTCATCAAGTATATAGGGGACCACTTCTATAAAAACAATTCAAACTAATCATAAAGAGTCCCATGTTTTCCAAACCAAAACATTCTAATAATCAACTTAAATCATCTAAATTCCCCAGAGAATGGAAAATGAAATGAAATTGGGCAAAACCAAACAACTCAGCAAATAGAAAAGCTCAACAACAAAAAGTTCACTTTTAACAAAGAGAGAGAGAGAGAGAGAAGAATAATGAAGTATACAGAATCAATAACGTTAATGGCTTCGAGAGAGGCTTGGTGTTCCCTGCCGCCATCGCAGGTAATGAAGAAGCCTTGAACTCCTGGCCTTAATGGGTACGCCCCCTTCTTCTTCACCGGTTTCTGCGTCCAAAATTTGCCAACAAAAATCACAAACCAAAGCTTCTAACTTTTTTCGGTTTAGAGAGAGAGAGAGAGAGAGAGGGGTTACGTTGTGAGGGAGATAGCGCGGCCTGCCCTTCTTGGACTTGGAGGAGGAAGCTAACTTAGGTTTGTTCTCTGCGGCCATTTGATTTTTGCGACAGAGATGAAACCTTTCCTTCTGTTCTCATAAACAGCTGAGGTTACACTTACACTGGTCTCTCTGTTTTTTTTATTTATTTATTTATTTATTTATTTTATAGTAGACCTTTTTATGTTTTTTAATAAATGGTCGAAAAGTGTAAAATTAGAGAACTAACGGTATATTTTTTTTATTAATTTTATTCTATCATTAATTGATTTGATGGTTTGTTATTGATTAATGTAATTATTTAACATCTTAATCAATAGTTGTTATTGATTAATGATATTAGTTAATAATTGATTAATTTCATTCAACAAATTATCCGTTTAAGAGTGACAAACTATTAGTATATTAATGTTAAACTAGTTCATCACTGATTAAATACATAGGGATAAGGAGGAAAATAGCATATTTAGTAGATATTTAGTAAATTATAACATATTTTTAAAAAAAATAGTAGATTATAACATAATTTGATATTTTAAGTTTTAAATATTACTAAAAATCTAAAAATACCCTTAAGTCTCCTTTCTACCTCTCTCTTCTTCTCCCTATAGTCAAGTCCACCATGGTTGGCTCTGGCAGCCGGCTCTGACGACTGGCGACCGGCTCCAGCGACCGGCAAACGCTTTCCAGCGGTCGTCTCCGGCGACTGGTAAATACTATATTTATCATATTAATTTGAAAATTTTGACTATCGGCTCTAGTGACTGGTAAATATCGTATTTACCACATTTATCTAAAAATCCGACGACCAGCTCTTGTGACTGGTGAATACAGTATTTACCATAATTATCTGAAAATTCAGCGAGCTACTCTGGTGACTAGTAAATACCTTATTACCAGTAAATCCTATATTTATGGATAAATAGAGTATTTACTAAATCGGGAATTGGATTCAGTGAAGTATTTGCTATTAAATATAGTATTTATCATATTTAGAATTAGATTCAGTGAATTATTTACTGGTAAAACAGTAATTACCAAATCCATACAAAATCACAATCTCAGATATTATAAAATTATAAATCTTATAACCATAAAAATCATAATCTTAACCAAGAATGAAATCACTAGAGAATAAACCTGCACAAAGAACTGACAACCAACTTCGGATCTACTCGTCCACGATCTCAAATCCATGGTCGAGAAAGAAATCTTTGAGAAAGAACTTGAGTCATCTTTCTCTCTGTGACATCACTAGATCTTTTCTCCATGGCTTGTGACTCCAAGCATGTCTCGTCGTCCATGGATCTTGGCCAAAATGGGAAAAAGAGGGACTTTCTCCGTCGGCAATGATGGCTACTACCGATGGCCTCACGCTGCACCTAAAACTACCATCGTCCATCCTCCATCACAAAAATTGCGCCACAGTTCGTGATATCCAACCAAGACTCGAATTACACGGTCCCGGAGCAATCTCCAACGAGGACGATCTCCGGTGAGATCCTTTGGCATCGACGATTCAACCTTACAGATATGGAAAAATCCGGTTGCGATTCTCTGAAAACTCGCAGCTTTGTCGAAATGTGGCTCTGGTCTTCATAGCTACGAATCTGGTTTGCGACAACTCTACTGCTCTCGACGACGAACGACAACATATTGAAGTGAACCAGAATTGCAAAGGCGAGCTTTGATTGGCGTCGTTTACGACAGTGATGAGAAAAGCAAGAGAGACGGAGAGAGAAAAAGAGGAGGGAGAAGAAAATCGGGAGAAAGAGTTGGTAGAGAGAAAGAGATAGAGATATTTAGAGGTATAGGATTCAAAAGAGAAAGAAAAGGGGCTGAGTTTTACTGAGAGAGAGAGAAAAAGTGAAAACCCAAAAATGAAAGGGTAAATTTAGAAAAGAGCATTTATTTTTGGAATTAAAAACTAAAACATGTTATTATTTACCAATTTTTTAAAAATATGCTATATACTTCAACTGCACTTGTAGAATATGCTATATGGTGTAATTTCCCATACCAATAGAGAAACGGTGATTTTCCTAAAAGAAAAAAAAAATGTCCAAAAAAATTAAATAATCGCCAGGTGACCAAAGAAGCGCCATTTTACTTTTGATAATTAAAAAAAGATTATGCTTTGCATTGTTGTGTCCATATCAATATAACAAAGTAACAAACAAACTATATTTCTAACGGGTGATTTGAGAGGAAAAATTATACACCTTAACACGTCATTAAATATAATGGTTCAACTTAAAAAAAAAAAATTTGAGACGAAATACTAATTTCACTTTATAAATTTCAAAAGTCTTTTCAGTTTATAATTGAAACACATGTATCATAAAACTCTGTTGGTTTTGCATACAGATTCTCCGTTATTTTCACTTTAAAGGACAGATTACTCTTCACTCATGCCACCATACTCCACTGCGCAACAGATTCGCCAGCGTGTAACGGACTTAAAATGAAGATGAAATCGCGCCAATATCAAAGCTCGGAATAAATAAATTTTACCACATTCAGCTCATAAAAGTAGTCCAATAGTGAGAAACATGGAAATATGTTCCAAAATCCAAGTTGAATAAAATATTCTACAAGGACAGACCATTTTGGAATACCGATAATGACACAGATAAGTAGAATTCAAGATTGAGAAACATTGGAAAGAGTTCAAGATTTGATTCAAACATTCCTGAAGCATTGAGTAATAGTTTACATGATGACACAGATAAACCACTCGCCAAAAAGCCAGCCATCGCACAATAAGCAAAAGTAACCATTTTTTTCATGACGATCAAAATAATGTTTGTAAGCTTTTAGCTTTCATAATACCAGATGTTCAATAGCGGTGCCTATTTCGGTCCCGATCCCAGTCCCTGTCCCTGTCTCGTCCATAATCTCTATCCCAGTCATGACCATAATCCCGGTCCCGATTCCTTCCCCTGTCACGTTCTCTGCTTCGACTTCGACGCCTTTCTCTGTCATCACGTTCTCTGTTCCTGCCACCGTCCCCATCATCTCGGTCTCTTCCTCTGTCTTTACTTCTCTCTCTACCATCTCTGTCAACGACACCTGCGTAGCACCATTTTGTAAACAAAGAAGTCAATCAAAAACCTATAAAAATTTGGTTAGACATCAATAATGCGATAATAGGACGTGCTAACCCTGCCTTATTGAAGACACCAGCCATTACCTGTTTTAGAAGGGATATAGTAACAATCCGGAAGATATAAAACGGTAAAGGCTTAGTTGGGCTAAGTTGTGAATTCTACTTTTCAGATGTTATTAACATTCACAGCCAATACTTTTTTATTCAAAAGACAGAGTCAAACACTTGAAAGGACACTGGACGACTCAGCCATTGTTTAGTGAAAAGCTTAAGCCAGCGTGAGCGAACTAGAGAAGACTTTTTTCTTGATTATTGCTCTTTGATATCCATGAAGGTGATGAATAAAATGAGTCATTCCCTATTATTCTAGATGGTCGGTTATATTCATGGAATGTGTGTAAAAGAAAGAGGTAAAGAGACTTAACCAGGTCCATAAAAGCCAAAAATGAAACAAAAATTACCTAGTTCCTCCACCTCCCACCCAGCACGTCCAGCACCTGGAAGCGTCCTTCCAGCTTCAGCTTGCTGTGTTTTCGCACGAAATTTTTTCTTGAGATTGCCAAATTCATCATACAACTCACCATCATCCTGACAATAGCACAGAGCATAGGCACCAATCAAAAAAGAAGGAATCCATGCATGTAAGATAAAAATAAAAAAGAAAAAAGAAACGAGCAAGTAAAATAGACATGGGACTGCATTCCCCACTGGCAGTACAAGTTGTTCTCACCTCTTCAGCCTCGCGTCGCCGACGTTTAGTTTCTTCCAGTTCTTCTTCATCAAGTTCTTTGTAACCTCCACCACGTCCCCCTCTGTCACGTAAATTTAAGGCCAAACAGTATAAATAAGGTTTCTTCCAGTTCTTCTTCATCAAGTTCTTTGTAACCTCCACCACGTCCTCCTCTGTCACATAAATTTAAGGCCAAACAGTATAAATAAAAGATATGTCCCAAGCCTATGCGTCAAAGGATTCAGAGCATGCTCCGCAAACAATCCATCTAGTGTGTGCATAAATTTGTACAAAGACATCAAAAAGTGTACCACTCGTGTGCCTAAGATTATACGTATTCCCCAAACAAAACAAAACAAAATAATTAAAAATAAACAAAATCATGACAGACTACCTTACGCCACCTTCGTTATGACCAGGTTTATTAGTGTTGCATATGTTGCATTTTGTACGCTTTGCCCAATTGATATTGCCACACCTGAAAAAGAATGAGAAGCAACAAGAAATATAACGCATTGATTCTACCCATGAGATAAGCATGTAGATCATATCTTTTGCAAATCAGATGAAAACAGATATGACCAGAAACTGCTCTTATGCAAATTCAATTACAAGTCTGACAAAATTATGGATTAGCATGCAAAGGATGAGGGTGGGGATTATAATTACAGTTATGAATCTAAGAGTCGTTTTGCACACGGTCGACGGTTTGAACTTGCAGAAGAATGAGCTAGATTTTCATAACTCAATTTGTGAGATGGAAGAACAAAGTTTTACAGCTGTGGCACCGAAAAAATTTAAATATATTATTGCAGAAATTCTGGACAGGAAAGGTTTATCATTTTAACAGCTAAACTACTTGAGGATCATTTCAAAGGCTAAAAGTTATGAAAAGTACTCAGAAATCCGATACTTAAATAAGAATCAAAAAGATTTGGATCAGCACATATGTCTTAATTCCAGACTTTGGAATCGGACCTGTGAGCCCATTTTGATACGAAACTCCTTTCTTTTCATTTTTATGTTTCCGAACATGCATGTGCACTATCTTGGTTTAAAACATTGCATGACAACCTAAAGCCAAAACCCTTCTTTCTCCAAATTGCAATAACCCTTCAGCAAAATGATCTACTCTTATGTTGAGTTTGAATGTCAACTAACTTAAACAGGATCTCATTCTCACATTTATTTCATCCACGTGATAGATTATAGAAATGCCTAGTTGACTACAACTACTGTCTTAATATGAATGAGGATTGCATATATGATAAATATAGGACATTTAAGTAGGAACATAATGATTTTACATTGGACAAGACCAATCATTGGGGCCAAAGAGTCCTCCTGTAGCTGCAGGAGCACCAATTGATCGGCCAGAGCCGCCCGAGTCCTGGGCACGACCCCTTCCCCGGCCACCACCCCATGCACCACCTCCAGAAGCCCCTGCTGGTCTGGCAGTTCCACAGCGGTTGCAGACACCACGAAATGCAAAATTAACATTGGAACAACTGCCACAAGAAGAAAGCATGAGAAGCCAATTTACATACCAAGTGTGTCATCATTATGGACGAAATAAAATGCTAAATAAAGGAGCAAGAAGGGCTGCTCACCAATATCACATCACAGACCTTGTATTCGGACACATCCAGTCTCCCTCTTGTTGCCAAGCCTTCCCAGAAGCATCATCCCGACCCCCACCCCTACCAGCACCCCCATTTATATCACGAGCATTTTCTTCCACTCCACCATAATCAGCCACAACATTTGGATCTGCCCCCAAGTTATAGGTTTGTTCATCTTTGCTTTTTGATTCTGCTATATGAACACCAATGATGCTACCATGAAAATCCTTGTCGTTAAACCACTCAACAGCAGCAAACGCAGCATGCGGATCCTCATATGTTACAGTAGCATCTCCTTTTGGCTCATTAGTCGCTTTATCTCGATACAACCATATTTTTGGTCTTCCCGTTCGCTTGTCTTTCTATATAGTAGACAGCAAAAATGACAAACAAACATTGAAGGGGAAAAGAAAAGATGCAATTACCAAATCAAATATCTAAACAAGCCCAACATAACAAGTCAAATGGGGAAAAAATGTATTTTCCAATGATACCTGATCAAACTCCATACCTTTAGCAACCCGATTGTTCCAAAATATTCAGCCAACATGTTTTCGTCAGTCCCATCAGGCAAGTTGCAAACATATACAGACCCATTTGACTGGGATCCTTTTCCTGAATAGTTTGCCATTAGGCCGCAGCTTCATGAAACTGAAGCAAAACCAGGTTGCGAAACTGCAGAAGGGCATAGTTAATTACTTGCAAGAGCCAAGAAGAAAGCACATTAAACAAAAAGCCAGTTCATCTTGAAACACTAAACCACGTGGCAATAAAGCGAGCCATTAGTATAGCATCAAAGACCAGAAACAACCACCAAAAAGAAAGTAACTCTAAACATATACACCGACACACATGACGTTAACATCATTCAGATTGGAAAATGCGAGCGGACCACAAATAGCACCAACATTTGTACGAGGTTACTCGTCCAGATCGAACCCATCTAAGACAACTAGAGTTTGCGCCTCTTCCACGACCCTTCGAACGTGCCAAAAACAGTCCAGACAGTTACACAATTCTAAAGTCTGTTCATTTCAGATCCAAACGACAACTTATGCCAAAAAAAACATTCTAACCAAAGAGCTTGGAGATGCTGCCTCCTTCAAATTCTCGTTGGACTTAACAACAAAGGGAAAATAGAATGACATTTCCTACATTTTAGTGTTGATTCTCTATTTCAATTTCATTCTCATGCCTCCAACATAGAAATTGCTTCTTGTTTTTCTTCCTTCTAATTCTAACAGTCTAACACGCTAATCATTTCTAAAAATCATCACCAAATCATACAACAGAAGCTAGTAAGAAAATTTATAATTCTAGCCAAAATCTCGTAGATCAGCTCAGTAATTAGACTTGAAAAGTGAAACGGAAATAAATTCAAAAACCCATTTTGAAGGGGAAAAATAAATGGCATTTGGTTCTAATTGAAAAAAAAAAGAAAAAAAAAAGAGCAAACCCCATGAAAGAAAAATCGGAAAGTTGCATTTTGAGCAGTCAAACAAGGACAGAAACAGAAATCTTAGTCATGGAAGAACAAAGCATCTGTCTCTTTCAACCTTATCTAATGAATGATGAACTATCAAAAGCAATATTCGGTGTGAAAAAAGAAAATTTGGAATCCAAATTTCGGCGCCATAAATACAGAAATCGATAGAACACCAAAAGAGAGAAAATACCTCAAACGAAACAGCGAATGGATCTGCTCCAAAATTCCCTTCTACCAAATCAACTCATATAAAGACACCTCGTGAACCCTAATTTCCTTCTTTTTTTTTTTTCTTTTTTTTTTTTTTTCCCTTCCACGGAGTCTTACAAGTTCTTGTTTGAGCAGCTACAGCAGTATAGCCTCTAAAGATGATGCGAAGGCCAATTCCTTGGGCCGCTTTTGGACCCGAGGAAAAGCCTCTGATTGGACCTATTTTCGGCCCCGCAGATAAAGGATCAGCTTCATTAGGCCTAACTTACCCTTAGGTTTCTATTGGTAAGAGGGCGGAGAATAGCAGGGATGAAGGGAGTTAGAGGGAATTTTTTATGCTGCTTGGACACTGCTGAGAAATATGATAATTTTTTAAATTTTACTGCAGAATCTACAAACTCGAATGATAACGTTATAAAAATTACAATAAATTTATGAATTTTAAAAGAATACGATGAATCATTTGAGTTTGTAAATTCTAAAGTAAAATTCACAAGTTATCGTATTCATTTAAAATTCACAATTTTATCATAATTTTTGCAACTTTTTCTTTCGAGTTTGTAAGTTCTAATATAAAATTTAACAAATTATCGTATCACCCGACACAGTGCAAGAAAAAAGTGTCCCGGCAGCATAAAAGGACTCGAGTTGGAGAGATTAAGAATATGAAGGATTATAGTAATCCTTTATGATGTTCGGTATGAGAGAGGAAGAGTTGAAAAAATGAATGATGATTGTTGTTAAATTACTATATTGTTTATTTTATTATTTGATAATAATTTCTTTTAGAGGATAAAATAGACTTTTAATTTAAATTCGATGGATTTAATAAATCGTTCATAAATGAAAGGATCTAAATTAGTGTGCTCAAAGAGGGAGCCTCCCTCTTAAGTCAATCTCGTCCTACATTAAATGCTGCTCTGCAATCGTGCAAACACATCAGATCTTTTCTTTCTTGATTTTATTTAGTTTTAAAATTTATGTTCTAAAAATTTTAGATAATTAATGGCTCAAATAATATTTTGAATAGTAGGTTATCTAAAAAAAAAAAAAATCAGTTAAAGGGTTATTTTTTTGCTCTTTTAAAAAACGTTGGGTATAATTTAGGAATAGGGGATACTTTTTAGATTATAAAAAATTTAGGGGTAAATATAGGATTTAGCTAAAACTCATGGGATATTTTTTGAATATACTATTTTCTTTTAAAAACGACAACTATGGTCTTACGCACACAACAATAAAGTTAGCAATGATTTTCTTGGTTTTTGGCTATTCAAAGTTTTGAAAAGTTAAACATGAAGTGATAGTGTCTACTAGGCATGAAGGATTTTTGGTTTGTTACATCTCAAATCTTAAGGTATTATTTGTAGTCTTATATTAGTTTAATTTCATAACAATGAATGTATGGATCAGTACGAATTTTGTGATTCAAGAAGCCTTTGAAGATGCACTCAAGGGGGTCATGAGGGGAGATCATAGTCGTCACACAAGTGGTTTTCTACAGCGCCTACTTTCTCAGACAATTTATACATCTGAACTAATGGATAGGCTTCTGAAGTTCCAAAAACTTGATCATATTGGCATAGAGGAAGCAGTTTCATGCAGGGGACTGCAATTCTTTTAGGGATCTTTTTAGGTGTAAATGGATATTTGGATATTGATTGTTTATGTGAATGTTCTACCTTTGTTTCTTTCGCGATTACTTATCATAACTTTTTTTTGGATGACTCATTTTCGAAAGAATTTTCTGCACAGGACAACAAAAGCGGCAAAGAATGCTTTGTATAGATGAGATGTGTCGGAAAAAATGGCTTGTTAAGCCATTTTAAAGGCCCCTTTTGAGGCTCATATTTGAATGGGGCCCAATAAGTTTTTAGGACGGGTTTTGATAGATTTGCGTTCTTTGTCACGAGGAGATTGAATGTGTGTGCCCACGACCTGCTAAAATGAATGCTAGACCGGAAAACCCGCTCCGTGCAAGCTTCATTTTGCAATTTTTCTTTTTATTTTTTCCAACTAAAATCTGAAACTGCTGCATTAGTGGTTGATTAACTCTGCATTAGTGCAGGGTACAGAAACTGTAGCAATAACCATTGGTTTATGGACATTTAACCTCCGATTCTAGTAATACTTAGGAGTAGATGCATCTGGAATTTCAGAGGTTATAACCTCTTAATTGAATCACCATCAAGCCGTGAATAAATTGCCTTTATTCTAACCTTGTAACATCCCCTGCAGCAGGCTATATAAAGGGGCCTCTCCAGCCATTTGAGAGCACACTTGCACAGAGCACTCACATCTCTCTCTCGAAGTTCTTTCTCTTCTTTTCGTGTTTCCCTTGTGTTCTTTTTGTAGTTCTGTTTTGGTGATAGAGGGAAGGTCCGAGTTCTAGTTCGCTGGGCGATTCTGATAGTACTTCGACCTACTGCCGTTGTATCTTGCGAGAAGGACGTCCAACGTTGCCTCAAGCACTCGCCGGAGGGGATGAATCTGTTTTAAGGAAAGCGTGATTCACGTGCCTCAACATCCTTACAATTCAGTTTCTGAGTTTAGTATAAAGGTTGAATTAGTATTGTAACGATTTCGTTATTTTGTTTTTTCATAAATTATTGTTATTCTCCTTTGTATTGTCCATATTTTTCTAACAAGATGTTGGACTCGTAGGCAGAGAATAGTGTTTTTATTAATACAACTAGGGAAGGAGGCACGTGCGTTCATGTTCATTAGGATAATATATAGACACAAGTTTTTCCTTTTACTATCTCTATTCACAAGGATTTAAAAGCTTTTTGATTCATCAAAGAGGAAATCGTAGAAGTTCTAGTTTCTAATATTTACAATGCATATAACAATTAAAACGTAATTTACATTGAAGTATTTTTGTAGTTCAACCTCTGTTAGGTGGAGAAATTTCTTTAATAAGCTTTGTGTATTTGCTCATCTTGATGTCCTGTAAGAAAAGAGAATGAGAGACAGATCATTAGATGAGACCTTTTTTTATAACGGTACAATATACAAAATTCAAGTCAATGGAAAGGATGAAAAGAAGTGATTAAATACCAGTGAAAATGCAGAACATTTAATTAACGTGGAAGGTGTCTTTTCTTAGTCATTTTGAGTTCGTCAATTCTAATAGTTCATGGTACACAATATTTTTAGTTTGTTCATCGTTGCAAATATTGTCAAGTCCAGGTCGAATATGTAATAACTGAAAAAATTTCAGACCTTAAAAAATACAATTCATGTATTTTTAAGCCAAGGATTTTCTTAGAAAATATTAT